CCCCTCTTCGCCCACAATTCCACTTCTGGGAAGTAACCTGGGGGAACAGTCACAGGTGTTCTCAGAGATTCATTTACAATCACAAAACACTGGACACAAACTACAAGTTCACAGTTACGGGCTGGTTAAGTAAATCATGGTACATTCACAGGCTGGGAACCTGGACAATCAGCAAGCCAATGCTTCAGAGGACTATTTATTAAAATGGATGCAAGGTCAAGATACAGGAACAAGTTGGGGAAAAGAAGACTGGAGATACAGATACCAAAATGTTAACAGTGATTACATCTGAGAGACTTGATGATGGGTAATGTTTATGCCCTTTTTTGGGCTTCTACTATTTTCAACAAGGTGTGTGTATATATATATATATATATATATTTCTTTCACAATCAGAAAAAGAAGGCCATAAAAGGGAAAAAAGAAACAAAAAAATCAGTCCGACTTCTCTCCCTGGTGTCTTCCAATGCCCGACCAACAATGAAGCAGGGCTGGCTGCGTGGACATGCTGGCCCTGAGAAGGTGCCCTCGCCTGCTGGCCTGTTGCAGGCTCCTCCCAGCCCACCTTCAGCACGAGTCACATGTGCATAGAGCTCTGTGGGGAGCACTGGACTCTGAGGCTGGTGGGAAGCTGGGCTCAACTCCCTCGCTTCCACATTCTATGGGTCAGATCGGCCCAGGAGCCTGTGAAGACTCTGATTATGAAAGTGCTAACTGGCGAAAGGCGAGAGGAAGACCTCCCAAATAAGGCCACAGAAAGCTCGGTGAATGAACGAGTACCCAGTGTCCAGCTGTGCTATGCAGAGAGGCGTGATTCTTCTCCGACCGTCTGCGGTCCGAGTCTCAACTTGTTTCTTCAAAAGATTCTGGCAAAGTAGAGGGACATAAATGAATGGAAAAGTTTCTGCCAACTATCTCCAAATATAAAAAAATAAGGCTTCTAAGAAAATATATTCTAACTTCCGCTTCTACAGCCCTTCTGGCCAAACTAAACTAAGCTACCTAATCAAAGAACAAACGTTTTTATCAGGGTGTACACTCCACTTCCTGCACAATAAAGCAGAAAGGACTGAAAGCTCCTAGCTGAGCCAGCTCCAGCACTTTCCTCTCTATCCCCAGTACTGCAGGCCTGGCCAGGTTCCCAAGGCAGTGAGCAGCCATGGGGCTCAATGAGGGAACTAACAGATGAGACCTGAACCCTTGAGCCACACTCTTGTTTCTAAGTTGTGGTTTGCAAACTCTCTTCCAGTAAAGGTTCATAACCAAGAGTTCCCAGTCACACATTGTGTCTGAATCACCTGAGGAGTTTCATCACCCTGCACAACCTCCTGGAGATGGTTAAGCTCCCCAGGTAATCTCACCATTTCCTGCCCTGTTCCAGTCCCATCTCCACCTCTCACCCTCCCAATGAGATGTAGACTTCCAGAAGAAGGGGGAGTCCACCAATGTCTCCTAAGGGTAGAGCCTAAAACCCAGTGTTCTTAGTACAGTAAGTCCTCACTTAATATCACTGATAGGTTCTTAGAAACTGCAACTTTAAGTGGAACCAAATTTTTACCATAGGCTAATTTATATAAACAAGAGTTAAGTTCCTACAGCATATTTCTGGTCACAGAAACAAAACCAAACTTCTAAATAGAGGCCCAAAATACTCCTAATATTAAACATTGAAATAAAGGTGAGCTACACATATGTTTAAGAAAGATTAATAAAAACCCATATGATGATTATTTTCTAACCCACTTATTCCAGCTCAGAGTCATGGGTGGCCAGAGCCCATCCTGGCAGCTCAGGGTACAAGGCGGGAACCCACCAGAACCCACCTACTCTGGACAAGAAACCTAATGTGCGTATCTTTGGGATGTAGGAGGAAACCAGAGTACTCAGAGAAAATATACAAAATCCACACAGACAGTGACTCCGACTAGGAATAGATATTTTTTTCTCATCAATGTTGTAACAAAAAAATGACGTTGAACGAAACGATGTTATTCGAGGACCTATTATTTATAGAATTTCCTAGAAAGGCCTAGTTCCTATGAGATGATCTTCTCTAGAGCAACTTGGGGCAAAAAGGCCTTTGATAAAGGTGACTTAGGCCCCACTACTACTTCATGCAGCTGAGGGTAATGGGCCAAGTACGTCCAAGCTGGCTTACCCCTGGGTCCCACACCAGGCCCAGAAGACACCTACCTCCCCACCACTCAGGTCCGTGCCCTGTCCCTGGGCACGTACCCATGTTCTCAGTGCCACTGGGCTGAGCGCTCACCTTCCTGATGTCCTCCAGACTCTCCCCATTGACGACGCCAGCGACTGAGGCAGCTGATCCCGTCTCTCTGGCTGCAGCACTCTTCTGGTCTAGCTGCTGCTGTTGCTGCCTCCGCTGGTACTTGAGCATCTCAGGGTTCTCAATGACAGCTGTGGAGAGCTGGGCCTCAGTCATGATAGCCAAGCTCTTGCCATAGGTGGATTGGTGAATGCGGCTCTAGAGGTAACAGAGAAAAGTGTAACTAACCAGTTGTGAGTAGCCATGTGCTACATACTGCCCACCAGTGGGTGAGCTGTGTGCTGGCTCTGAGAGCAGAATGGCCCTTGGGCAGAGGCCCCAAAATGCCATATACAAGCTCTCCATTGCCTCCCACCCTATTCTGCTTGTTGCTGATGAGATGACTCTCGAGCAGTCTTGTACCTTCCCTAGATGTTTACAGCCCCCTTTGTATCTATAGCTGGGGACAAAAATGAATGAGTAACCAACAAGAAAATACCTCCTACATTTCTGATGCAGAACAAATGGCAAGCGTTTGTTGACCTGAAGTTAAGACACTCAAATTGCTAACATAAGGCTCTAAATCACTCATTCCAAGGGCCCCAACTGCTCTTTGGGAACCAGACACTGAAACCAGAGTCTGTCTGCTACTCTTATCTACAGCCATCAGCCCCATGTGGTTGGAGGTAGCCATGGGGCTGCCAACAGTGTCTCTAAGAACAAGGGAAGGCCTGCCACAGAAGATCTGGAGAAATCCTTCTTTACCCCCGCTGTCTCCCAACATGTCCAAATCCTTCTGAACAGGGCCCCTCCCTCCACCTTCCCAGGTCTCATTAGTCCCATGCCACAACAAGCCAGACAGGCCCCCAAGAGGGCAGGTATGATGCCCTCAGTACACTGGAATGGCTGGTGTGATGAGGAACAGATTCACATAAGAATGTGCTATGACCATCTTGGAGGTCAGTAGGACATCAGCCTCACAGCAGAGGATGCTGGACAGGAGAGGCGGTGCTTTGGGACCCGCTTCTGAAGGGCCCGGTATGCCTGCGTGTGGCCAGGAACTTTCCTTGCCACCTTGACTCCTGTCCCCTCTCCCCTGAATTCTCAACGCAGAGTTAAGTTTGGCCGATGTCTCCCTAGTGTTCCTCAAACACAGGGTCCCTGCCTGTCATATGGGAAATGGTAAGCTAGATGGGTGGGCTCCCACTGTGATTCTCCAAGAGGGAGGGGAGTGCACAGTGATGTCAGGTTACCTGATGACAGTGACAAGGTGGAAAGTGGACCTGAAGCCATTGAGACATTCATCCTTTTATTGAGAAGAAATTAGGGTGTCAGGCCCTGTTCTAAGTTTGCTGAAAACAAGGCAGATCCGAGGGGTTTATATCATAGTGGGGGGTCCACAGAGTAGCTTAAGATGGAGCTTCTACCAGTAATCACTAAAGGGAGAGCTGCCTACCTGCTCTGAGGTTTCATAGAGCTCCTTTCAGACAAATGAACACATTCCACTAAGTGCTGGCAAAGGCACAATTTTAGAAATGCTGGTTCTGTCTACAGTAGGTGGAGCAGAACCTTTCCTGAAGCCCTTGAGGATGTGCACATAGGCTGCACTGTCTCCTAGGTCAGGCTGCTGTTCTTATTCCAAAAGGTCATGTGTGGTCTTGGCAAAAGGCTGTACTATTTTCCGAGGCTTAGTTACCTCGATGATGAAACAGGTAAGCCCTGCCTTGAAGGGTTTTGTGTCATTTAAATGAAATATATGCAGACACTCGGCCCAGAGTCTGGCATACAGTAAGTGCTGAGAAACGACCAACATTATTGTTAAGTTGCTGCTCTATGGCAGCTGTGCCAGTATAAGCCAATGGGAAAAGCGATGTGAGCAGGGACCCTTGGGAGCACTCCCACGCTCTCCCAGGGTGAAACCTCCCAGTGTGTAGCTAATTCTTAGCTCAGAAAGAGATGCCCAAAGTTGTTTTACTCTTAATTCCACACTGATTTCTGACAAACACAGACTCATTTTTAAATTAATCTATTTTGTAAAGAAAACAAAGATTATAATGTATAAAAGACAAACACCCAATAACACATTAAGAAACAATGTGTATGTGTATGTTACAAGAAGAGGGTCCAATTGAAGGGGCCTCTCAGAGCTATCATGGCCATTTCTGTGGTTCCAGAGCAGCACACAGGCCACTAACTGGCAGTGTGTTGTTGTCCTACCTTCTCCTCCTCACTCAGGGGGTCTCCGAGCTCATCCTGGGAGAAATCTAGGAATGCCACAGAGCCATCCATGGAGCACACCAGGATGCCCAGCCCGTTCAGAGTCCTGAAAGAGACAGCCGTCAGCAGCCTGGGAGCAAGTGCCTAGGGTGCTCACCCATGCCTGTGGACCCAGGAGGATGGCAGAGCAGGGCTCTAGGGAGCTGCCTAGAATCCCTGGTTCCCGTCTGTGGCCTGGTGGGGGTGGGGATGGGGGAGACAATTGTATCCCAGAAGGTTCTGGCACCCTTTAATTCTAAGCACATGTACAAAGTCTCTTTTACCATGTATGTGGTTTGTAAGAATTTCATTATTTATTTTTGAAACTATTTTTTTTTAAATGTGAGGGAGTATACATCTAAATGAGGTCACTGAGAAGCAGAATGTGTCTCCACACCTATTCTAATCTGGTTCATAAAATGACAGAGAATGAAGTGGAACCAGAGTCACAGAACTCTTCCCAAATACCAGTTTGTCTGAGAAGACATTTTCCAGGGACAAATCCCAATGGAGCAAGGAGCACAGCAGCAGGACCAAGCTGCCCTTTCCTGAATCATGTGCAAACAGCACCCTCGGGGTCTGCTCTGGTGGCGACACCTTAGGGGGTCCCTGGCTACCTGACCCTAATCACATCCAGGGGACCTCATGTTCCAACGTGTGGCTTCTCCAGCCTATGCATCGTTACAAGAATCCATCTTACCAGGAAATATCCATGATGGATTTGTCAAACAACTCATGGATGACAACCAAAGGCCTTTTCAGACACGTGAGCTGGAAGGAAAGAAGCAGCAAAGGTTAATGAAAAGAATGAAAACCACTCTGTCCACTCAGCTCAGTTAATACTACCAGTCCTAGAAGCAAGCCTTGGTCAAAATTTTGCTGACATAAAAAGCATATTCAACTCTATTCAAACAGCAACTACCAAGATCCCAAACTGTGGAAACTAAAGCCTGACAAAAAATATGCAAACTAGAGTGGCCCCTGCCTGAAGAGCTCATTGTGGTTTGGCAGGGGGAATGGCTTTACACAGACAATGGAGAAGGGGACTCTGGAAAGGCCATGACCTGAGCAGAGAAGGTCTACCGTGCAGCAGATGGCATGCCAAGGCCTGGCTGGGCAGGGGATGAGGCAGCAAAGGCAGCTCAAAGGAAAACAGCCTCAAAGAGAACCCAGCACATCTCCTCTAGGACCAATAAATTCTGGTACACCTTTATGCAATACTCAGTGTAACTGGCTACCTACGGGTGTGTCACACAGGCTCATTCTACAGTGTGGATAGGCCAGAAACACACAAAAACAGTTTACACTGCCCTAAGTCCCACCCAAACCATATTAAGGCTTTGACGAGTTATTGTCTTCTGGTCTATCTTGTGTAAGTATTTCATTCTTTAAAATAAAGCACACGGTTGTGCCTGCATTTTCATTTGATACATAATGTGCATGTCATTAAATATCCTGTGAACACCTGTTTTTGATGACTGCATAACATTTACCATGTGCACATTCATTATCTAGTCACTTTGATGTTGGGCCCTGCACTACCTCCATGTTCCCACAGTTACAGCGAGCTCCATCTCTCATACACTAGTGTCTGACCTATCTGCTGACAGGTCCTGGGGCCACAGGGCATTGGGCTAGGTGGGAGCACCATTCTGCAGGGCTCCCACCAAGTGCTGTGGAAGCTTCTGGGAGGCTGGGACTGCTCTCGCAGGGAAGGAATTGCTGTGGCCATCCTAGCTGGGAGGAGAGGCCTGGAGTCTGAGCTACCTAGAATCTATGAGAAGAATCTTGCCCCTACCTTAATTCTACTTTCGGGGGGGGAAAAAAAAATAAAAAAGGCAACCCTGCACCTCCTCCCAACATTGTGTTTACAGACCCCTCAGAAATCTGGACCTGATGTGAACACCTGACCTCAGCATTCTAAGAAACATGAGCACACGGTCAGTGATGTTTTGGTCAAAGCACTATGAATGGAGCCTCAGGCCAGGAGGAGCCCAAAAAGAACATGCCTGTAATTGCCTATGATGGCACTAGGATTCAGGTTCTGGAGTGGATGGTACATGAGATCCATGAAAAAAAATGATGTATGCAGCATCGATTTCTCTGTGACAAATAACAGTAATAAACAACCAAAGTGTCCTGTGATAGATGACTGGATAAAGAAGATGTGGTATATATACACACAATGGAATACTACTCTACTATTTGTGACAATATGGATGGATCTTGAGATTATTATGCTAAGTGAAATAAGTCAGACAGAAAAAGTCGAGAACCACATTATTTCACTGATACATGGGATATAAAACTGAAAGCAACAAAGGAACAAGACAAACAAACAAAAACTCATAGACATAGACAACAGTTTAGTGGCTACCAGAGGGTAAGGGGAGCGGGGGTGGTAGATGAGGGTAAAGGGGGTCAAGTATATGGTGATGGAAGGCCAACTGACTCTGGGTGGTAAACACATAATGCAATATATAGATGATGTATTATAGAATTGTACACTTAAAACCTATGTAGTTTTGTTGCTCATTGTCACACCAATGAATTTTAATAATTAAAAAAAAAAAATAACAGTAATGAATGGAGCCAGAGGCTAACTTTCAAACCTACAACTTCAAATCCACTCCGCTTATGGGGAAATTAATAATAAGGAATAAACTATTGTTAAACATAATAACATAAATGAATCTCAACAACATTGTGCCAAGTAAAAGTAACACAAGACATAAAAAGGATAAACACTGCACAACCCCATTTATATTAAATTTAGGGACAGGCAAAACTCATCAATGTGACAGACATCATTAGAGTAGTTGCCTTGGCTGAGGGGGGTTTGGGGAGTAGGGTCTTGAATGGGCAGGGACAGGGAGCATTCTGGGGCAGTGGTTACACATGTGAACATGTATAACAATGCACTGAGCTGTATGCTTCAGGTGAATACACTTTATGTAGGCTTTATGTTGATGCAGCATTTTTTAAAATGAAGCAAACACAACATGCCAACTATGGCACTGACCACTGAGGGTATTCCCTAAGTTTGGATACAAGCGGCGCTTGCTGGGGGTCAGGGCGGCCTTTCCTGGCTGGGTCTAGACCCAGTCTTCAGTGCTTCCTTCCAGGGTAATGAGAGGGCCTGACCCCAGGTGCATGCTGGAAGCACACACTGGGCACACCAAAAGCAGGGGTCCTCCTCTTCCAGGCCTCCAGGAACCATCTCCTTCACCAGCCCCATCTCCTGTCCCCTGCAGGAGCAGCAAAAGCTCATGATGGGGGGCTCACCCAGACAGAGAGAGAACGATCCTTGCTGCCAACAGCACAGCAGCAGTATGGGCAGCTAGGCTTTGCAGAACTCCCGTTCTTCTGCTTCTTTTTGAAGATTTTTGGGTTGAATTTCTAAAGTCAAATAACAAATGCTAAAATAATTGATCAAGCATCAAGCATGTACCCCATGCCAAGTATTATAAACATACCACAATCCCAGCCTGCCGTTGGCAGCCCCACACAGACATCCCCCAGCCCCAGGCACTCAGCAAGTGTTACTTCATCTTCACAACTACATTTTGCTAAGGATGAAATGGAGGGTCAGAGGCCAGAAAACGTGCTGAGTCACCAAATGAGTAAGTGGTGAGACAAGGATTTGAAATTGGCTCTACCAACTCTCCAGTTCTGGGCCTACAGCCAGATCGATGGCGGGGGAGCTACTAGAACTGGCCCTTTGAATCCCTCCTGGCCAGGGCAGGGCCAGCTCTAGGACTTGGGCTTTAGGGACAAGGTCCTGAGGAAGGGCTGCTCCAGTATCTCTTTCCCCTCACTATACTTCTTGCTCAGAATCAAAACTGTCTTGTAGAGACTAATCAGTCCTGTGCGATCTCACAAATAGGGATGATGGCTACGTCAGGTTCAGGTCAGCCCAGGGGCTGCCTCTGTGTAACTTGGGCATCGTTGTTAGAAGGGCTGGAAGCACATGCTGAGCTCCTTGATGCTTTTCTAAATTGAAAAGGGTTGGGAGCCTGTAGACTCAAGAGTTGAAACCCTCAAGCCAGGAGAACTGAGGAGGAAGGGTGTCAGGTGGGCCAGAGCATTTCTAATTGCAGAGGGCAGGCAGGAATGGCCAGGGGTGTACAGAGACTGGAAACTATGGAACACGGAGGCATTTACCCTGGGCTTGAGTCTCCACAACCACTGAGTTGGCTGCAAGCCCTTGGCGCTGCCATCTCCTAGAGCCGCTCTTACAGTGGCTGTTAGGATCACTAGAGAGAGTCATGTGGAAGCACTGTGCTCACTATGCAGCAGTGACTTTCAAACACTTTAGCAACATGATCCTGGGTCCAAATAAAATCTTAATATGGACTTCAATACAAAAAAAAAATTTAAAAAGCAGTATTTTATTTGTATAAATTTAAGTCATAGTAGGTGATATTTATTATCATATTAAACAATGGGAAGGATGAACCCATTTTGATAAATAAAAAGACTGAGATGAGGGGCCTGGGTGATCCTTTACTTTTATCAGCTTTAGCCAACCAGTCTATTGACTGTTGTGGTTGTCCAGTGTTGAGAAAATTGTGGTTCTCAGGCTGTATGCCTTGCAAACTCTCAAGATACTTCTCAGTGAACATCACCCAGAAGCATAAGAGTGCCTGATACTCTCTCAAGCCTGAGAAACAGTAGCCCACAGCTTCTGGCACTCCTTCCCCCTCCACATCAAGATTGGGCAGGCAGCTGCAGACTCAGGCAAGCACTCCAGTGATCCACAGCACAGCCTCGCAGCTATAGCTGGCCACTGCTACAGCGCCCAGATAAGCATATGTGCTTGGTGGACACACAAACTGTGCCTGTGTCCTCCAGGGCTTGGGGAGTGGACCAAGTGTATTCACCTGTCAGGACCACCATGCTTGAGCACCCACTTGCAGACCCACTAGCCTGTAAAAAGGCTAGAGCAGAGCTATAGTGTTCCTAACCAAAGGCTGATTTTGGTGGTACCATCAAGTTTAAAGTTTGCCAATAAAACACAAGTATGTATTTTCTTGTAAATTCAGTTTTTAAACATTGAAACATAAGTATTTAAAATGTAACAAACAGGTGACATGTGCTGGATCTCGGGGCACACCACCTCACTCCCACACATGACCCAGCCTTGGCACTGCCCAGGCTCTGAGGGTATCACTCAGGGCAGGGCCAATACAGCCAGCCAGCCTAAAGCTGAGTACACTCACCACAACGGTTACGGCTTTTCGGTGTCCAACGAAGTCCATGTTGGTCTTCCAGCCCTCCCGTTCAATGATCTGGGCAGTGGGGCCAGAGTTGTTCATGGCATGGGCAGACACCAGGTAATGCCCATCAGGTGACCAGCTGAGCCGCAACACATGGGTCGTCCCTCCACACTGAAACAAACATCTGTGCTTGAAAGGACTCAAGGCCAACCTTGTGACCAAAACTCTGGCATCAAGAATGAAGTTGAACTCTGCTTTACAAATGAATGATGGTGGACGAGCATGCACCCAAACTTATGGCTACACAGACAGCTGTAACTCTGTCCTCTCCAGATGACCCAACAAAAAAGGCTCTGCCAGATGAGACCGGGAGCTATGGTATCCTATGCTCTCCCACAGGAGCTCAGCACAGCACAGTGATGTAGGCCCTGAGATGATCTGCAGGACAGCCACCGCTTTTAACCGTCAACTCTGCATGGGCCAAATCTATCTGGCCACTGGCCCCTTTCTTCTGCCCATCACCTCTAAACCCCACTACACGAGGTCTGTAGAGCGTTCACTGCAGCAGAGAAAGAGCTCTGTTGGCCCTCAGGAGCCTGTCTCTATGATGCAGCTGGTGACCATGAACCACCACCTGCTCTCTTGAACCTGCTTCCTCACCCAAAGCCTGGTGATGCCACCAGCAAAGGAGGAGAGGTTCATAAAGTTTGAATAAACCATAAAATGCCCAGCAGAAAGGCACTGTTTTCCTGACCTAACTGAGGGCTGAGGCAGGACATCCCTTCACAGTGTTTCTCCTGCAAAGTGAGATGACATGGGCCAAAAGCCAGCCCTCTGAAGCTCAAGGTCAGTCCAGCTCTAGAGACTTAAGGATTAAGATCTTGGCCTCAGTCTCAAAGGAGGGCAGGACAAGGCAGAGCCCAAGTGTATTAACACACCTACCTCCAATTCCAGCCAGGCTCACCCCAGAGGTGGAAGAGAACTTCCAGTTCACTGGGAATCCAAATACTCCTGCTCCATCTCCCACAGCTACCCCAGGAGACCAGCCCATGGGACTCTACCTGCTGCATGGCAGCTGGAGCCCTGAGGAGCTCTAAAAGGTGTGAGGGACCATGTCCCTGGTACAAGGCTGTAGCTAAGGAGGGCAGGATTAAGTAAGGTGAATACTGGTACTAATGTGCCCAAGAACTACTGCTGGTTTTGGTTTGGGGAGAACTAAACACATATTTCCACTTTTCTCCCACAGCTAGCCCTGACCAGTGAGCTAATGTCTATTCTTCCTGCAAAACTGTGCTTGTGTCCTTTCCCCCGAGAAACCTTCCCTGATGAGATCATACCCCACACTCCGGACTGTTTTTGCACACTCTGGACAACGCCATCACCATGCTCATAACAAACTCAAATGTCTGTTTTACTCACAGGGCTGGCTCCAAGCTTCAAGGGAGAGGCTCTATCTTGATCCACTTTTATTTCCTATACCCTGTACTGTCTTACACATAGTAGGCACTTAAGAAACATCTATTGAATAATGGCAATCTTGAACTCTGATCCCATATAAAATGAGAGCTCAAATAAAGGAAGAGACAGTAAAATACCACACAAGCCACTGCAGTCTGACCTCCAGACGTTTTGTAAACCATACTGGTAGCTACCCAAGAAGGTCAGCTAGCCTGCAGAGCATAGGTCAGTGAGCAAAGCCACAGCACAGTCAGGAAAAATACTAGAGAGAAGCACCTCCGTGTCCTCCCACACACCCCATGGGAAAGTGCAATGTATATGCCATGTGGGGAGAAAAAGTTTCCTCATGTCGGTGGCAGCCAGCTGTGTGGCACAAGGTTATGGGGGCATCTCTAAGGCTCGCTTCAGTTTTAAAACTTATAAATCCTTTTCACTTCGAACGTGGACATTTGATAGCAAATGAGAAATGAAAGATTTTCATCATCTAACTCTTTGAGCCAGAGTGCCTGCCCCAGAGTCTGCTCAGATCCCCAGACTCTGCATTCACCCACGAAGTCCAGACCCCAGCCAGCTCCTCCTCTGTGCACAGAGGCGAGGAAGGCTGCTGGGCCAAGCTCTCTGGGCCATCTCCTTACCTCGTCAAAAGGTTTGGTGATGCTGGTCTCCAACTGCCAGTCCAGAGTCCTCCACACCTTCAGGCTCCGGTCGTCAGCTTGAGAGGCAATGTATTTACCAACAGGGTCCCAAGTCAACCCTTTTACCAAGCCAGAATGACCTCTTAGGGTAGCTAGAATTTCTGTGAGGAAAAAGAAAAGAGATTGGAAAGGTGTTACCTTGGGGGAAATGACGACTATATATAGAAACATGAGCTACAATCCATGGGCCACAGACTGGCTAGCCAAGAGAAGGGACTTCAGGAGTCCACCGTGGCCAGCCCCTGCCCCTGGGCACATGCAAAAGATCCCCCTAATCTGATCTCCACCAAGGGAAAAGCAACCTGAAGAAATGACTGCACCCAGGAGGTGGGCACCGCAATTTCCCCTCATTCACAGCTAGTACTTGTGGGTTGAGGCTGCATGTGGCCCTGAAGGGACAAGCAACCAGGGGCCCAGGCTTGGGCTGGAGCCAAATTCTGCCCCCTTGTCTTGTGTGCAGCCTGTGGTCTTGCCTGTGGTTTGTCTCTCTGGACAGAAGCCCACACCCACCTGCGCTGTGACATTGGCACTTCTGATGTGAACCTCCCCAGCAGCTCAGGGGAGTAGGCACTGCACTGAGTCCTCTGTAAGTCATCACTGAGGACAAAGGTGTGCAAGACAGTACCTCCAAGAGATAAATAATCTAAATGTCACCTCATCCTCTAAATCTGCCACTCTGTGGCTAGGCTGAGTGTCCCCACACTTACTGGTTGCTTACAGAAAGAAATGACTTGGATCAAGTCCATGGACAATCCTTTTTAGCCCATGAGGATAACATACTCCAGATACTGAGGAGGAACATGGGAGAAGTATCTTAGTAGTTATAAACAGCAGTGCTATTCCAGGTTATGCCATCTGTCACGACTTTAAACACGTTAATAAGAAAAATTAATCTTCTGCAAGATTTGTTAGGCTGCATCTGCTCAAGGGCATCACAGAGGAGACAGCAAATGAGCTGAAACCAGAGCCCAGCTGTGGAAGGGCTACCCTTGAGGGCACATGTGGGGGTGCTGGGGTGCATGTAAAGGCACAGCACAGGTGGGGGTACTGGGGTGAGCTGAGCACAAGCTGGGCGAGGTCCACGATGTACTACGCTCATGATCTGTGGCACATTCATGTTAGCACTCAGTTACTATTTTTCTTTAACATAAACCTCTTTTAAAACCTTAAACAAATATAACTGATGAAGAAAAAAAGAACTCAGTTACTGACAAGACATATGAATCCCTGTCCACTGTGAGACACATGCTGCCACCAGCTGAAGGAGACAAAAGCCCACCCCGCTCTAGACACCAACAGGCAGCATTGCTGATGAGTGGCCCGTTTCTGCCACCACCTAGTTAGAGGAGGCCCAGACCTGGGAACTTGACTGCATTCCAGATGACGACAGTATTATCCACACTGCACGAGGCCAGCCAGGCGTCATGGGGAGACCATGCTACATCCATCACATCTGGAAGACAAGAGGGCCAGCGGTGAGTCTCTTACCTGGCATGCAGACTTGGCAAGGGGACACTCACTACCACCCCATTGGCCAGCTGGGCCAGCAGTCCCTGATGTCACGACTGAGGAGACCTGACCTGGCACCATCATAACTACATTTTGTTTAAACCAACCTGAAAAACTTCCCCACTAAGGTTTTTCAATTGGTCATAAAATTTGAAGCATCAAACGGATCCCACCCCACTCCTTTTACAGACGAAACAACTAAGGGCACGGCTGAAAGCTTGGCGCCTTGTGGCATTATACTCACCTATTAAGAGCCCTGGCTCTGACACCTACTGAGCCTGTGGCCTGGGGCTCAATCCTCAATCCCACTAAGCTTGCTTCTCTCATCCTAACTGGGCCTTCCTCACACAGCCCTTTGAGCACTGTAGGTCCAGGACTTAGAATGCCTGGCACACAGAGCTCAGTAGCTGTTTACTAACTGAATGAATGCTAAGTCATCTTCAGACCAACAGGAGTGTCCCTTCCCTACGTAGCCCCCAAACACAATGAATCATGTTCATTTCTTTGTGACTTAGTTTTCACATCTATAAAATGAGTATTTAAAAAACCTATCCTCAGAAGGTTACTGTGAGGATTGCATGTGAGAAATTGCTATAGGAAGGTGCCAGGCACACAACAAGGCATCGATAAAGGTCACCCGTGACAGTGACGATGCCCATCTTGCCATGCAGGTGTGACGGGTGCAGTCTTACTGATTTTTCTAACCGCATTGCCTGATGCAGTGCTCGGTGTATAGAAGCATGAATGGTTGGTGAGATGAAAAACCAGAAACACAACATTAAGTTAACAGCTATCTAGTCCTTTCCTCACAGGATTTTTAAAAAGAGGGGCAAGCAAAGTATTCAAAATTCCTATGTTTTTTTCCTAGTTTTAAAAACATCTTGAGTGACAGCTTGATGAATGTTTTCCACATTGTACTGGCCGTTGTATTGCACACTACATATGCACTGATATGCTGCATTTAGTATTCTAATAGCGTATGTGATCTTCAGAGCTTCTTTTGATTTGTTCCGCGTTTTATGTTGTTGAGAGCATTTGCTACCATAAACAGACCTAGTTTAATAATGAACTTTAAATGGGTTCCAGTTTTCCATGTTGATGAGTACATGCACATATGTCTCTCTCTACATCCTGGATTTTTTTTCTTTGAGACTGACATCTCAAAGTGAGAATCTGGGCAGAAGGCCTGAACATTTTCATGAAAGTTTGGAGTCTTTTAACACCGTAGACTGCTTTTCAAAGTCCTCTACGACTTCACACTTCTACAAGCAGAATATCCATTTCAAAACTCACCTGTCAGCTTAAGGATTATGATCTTTTCCCTTCTAACTTATTAAGTACATTACTAAACTTTAAATTTTACTTTGATTAGTAGGAAAAGTGAAGATTTTTTGCATTTGTCTAGAGTTGTCTTGTCCTTGGACCGACTGCTCCTATCTTTGTGGGGAGCTCTCCTGTGCAGCGGGTCTAACAAATATAAGAACCGACATGAATCTCAGGATGTCACTGTGGTACCTAAGTCCTAGAGCAGAGAAGTTGTCAGCTGGGAATCCAGAAAGGATACGGGATGTTCTTAGCAATTTTCGTGGACTATTGGCACTACAGGCATTAGCTGCAAATTCCATCAGTTTACCTTCTTATATTGTAGATTTATGTAGTAAAGTCTGTTATTCTCCTTTGTGACGTCTTTTATTGCCTATTAACCTTGAAAAATATTCCCTCTGCTAGAGGTTTAATAAATATTCAATTCTGTTTTCTCCTACTTTAATTATTCATAATGTTTCTCTCTTTAATACCTTGAATTTATTTTGATGTATGCTATATTAGTGAGGCTCTAAATTACTTTCCTGTCACCCCATGAACTACTAATGGTTACTCTATTCCAATGGAGAATAATTCTTCCTCTCCATTATTGATAAGAGATGCCAACTTCATGATACACCAAACTTTTAGGTACACTGTAGCCTACTTCAGTATTGTTACTTTTGCCCAGAAATTTGTGATGTGACAAACACGGCAGCTTTGAATGATTTCTTCCATAAACTTATTTATCCTTCCAGATGCTCTTTTGAGGCCATGCTGAATTCTGCAGTAATCCACATATGTGACATAATTTTCTACATAAACCCCAGTTTTGCAGCTTTTGTCTTAAAACTATACCATCTATTTTCCTGCTCATTGCAGATCTGTACATACCTGAGACCCTCTCTGCACCAGAAGAATGAAGTTTCCAGTCACTGTCATTCCTACCAACACTTTCGTCATCATTCTTGGTGATTCCAAGAGGGTTTTTCTAACACCCAAGGCTCTTGGATCCTTAAATTCCTCCTCTTCCTCCAAAGACCTTGACTTCCATCACTACCTCAGCCATTCATTCCCATGGTCATGCCCAGAGATCCTCTCTGGACTTAATTTCAACTCTCTTGCACTCCGAATATCAATTTGGTGCTTCCAGCTCGCTCTCAACGCCAATGGTTCTTTTAGGTGCTACGACCCACTCGTGCTACAGGCCTTCCACTATCTGTGTCCTTAAAGTCCACCATCCTTTGGCTCTACTATCCCCTCTGCTCTTCTCCCGTGTCTTCACAGGGGCCTGACAAATCCCAGCCTGGTTCAATCCAGTTCTATCTTCCCCTTGGTCTTTCTTGAGCACCCTCCGACTAGGCTTTCACCCAGCTACACCAAGATGAACTACACTTGCCAAAGCCACCAGGGGCCTCTATGCTGTCAAGTCCAATGGTCAATTCTCAGTCCTTACCTGACCTTAGGCAACATGTGACAATGTGCCACTCACTCCTTTTTCCTTCAAACACTCCATTATCTTAACTGGCCTCTCAGTCTCAGCCGCTTTTGCTGGTTCTTCATCTCTCCAAACCCCAGGTTCCATCTTTGGCTACTATTCCCACCTACTCTTCTCCCCTGTACTCAAGATTCACATAGCCAAATGCCTACACAGCAAGTCCACTTACATTGCTGCTAGGCAATGCAACCTTAACACTCTCAAAACATTTCCCCCAGCCAACATTTCTGTCCCACCCATACACCTCTCAACGCAAGTGATGGCAAATGCATCCTTTCCATTGTTCAGGCCATAGTCTAGTCCTGTCCTAATTCCTCTGCTTCTCTCACACCCCATATCCCATCTACCAGAAAATCTGCATCTGACCTCCTGATTTCCACTGTTATGACCCAGGTCCCAAGTGCCATTGTCTCTCACCTAGATTGTCAACAGCCTCCTCACTGGTCTCCCCAGTGCTGCCCCTTAGTCCCCTAAAGTATGGACTCCATACAGCTGCCACAGGCCTCCCTACTCCTCTGCTCAAAACCTTGCTGAGCCTTCCCATATATGCACTCAGAGAAGAACCCACACCATAGCCCCTGCATCCCTCCCCCTCACTCCCTCTGACCTAGCCCTTGTGCCTCCCTGAACACACCAAGCACATGTCTAATTCCCAGGGCTGTTGCCTTGGCTGTTCCTTGACTGGAAAGCTCTTTGGAAAAACCACACAGTTGTCCCCTCACCTCCATCTGGTCTCCTCCTAGATGTCACCTTCTCAGTGAGGCCCTCCTTAAGAACCCTGGGTGAAATGGCACTCCATCTCATTTTGTTCCCTGACACTTATCTTCT